TTACATGCTAATGCCTATTCTTTTGATTCATTCCATTGTCTTCTACTCAGCCAACTGCCATGCTTGCAAAGAAATCAGTCCACAAACCAAGTCCAGTTGAGTTTCTGGTCAATGGCAACCCCACGATGTTGTTAGTGGGGGGATTCAGTGCTGGTAACACTTTTGAATATCTGTTAGATTGTCTGTTATTGGTGATGGTCATAGCCTGGCATTTGTGTGGCGCGAATATTACATGCCACTTGCCAGCCCAAGCCTGCATATTGTCCAGATGTTGTTATATTTGGACATGTTTTGCTTCAGTATCTGAATTGCAAGTGGTGCTGAACATCATGCAATCATCGGCAAACAAACCCACTTCTGGCCTTATGATGGAGGAAATGTCATTGATGATGCAGCTAAAGATGATTGGGCCTAGGACACTACCCTGAGGAACTCATGCAGAGATGTCCTGGAGCTGACATGTCTGACCTCCACCAAACATGACCATCTATCTGTCAAGTATGACGAACTAGCAGAGAGTTTGTCTTCTGATACCAACTGATTCCAGTTTTGCCAGGACTCCTTGATGCCACACTCGGTTGAATGCAGTCTTGATGTGAAGGGCTATCACTCTCACCTTACTTTACCTCTGGAATTCAGCTCTTCTGTCCAGGAGCTAAGTGGTACTGGTGGAACCTAAACTGAGCAGATGCTGCTTGACAGAATTATTGACAACACCTTCCATCACTTTACCAATAATGAAGAGCAAGCTGATGGGGCGGTAATTGGCTGGATTAGATTTGTCCGGCTTTTTTTATGTACAAGACATACTTGGGCAATTTTCCACATTGTTAGGTAGATGGCAGTGCTGTAAATATACTTGAAGAGCTTGGCTAGGGGAGCAGCAACTTCTGGAGCACAAATCTTCATTACTGTTGCAGGAATGGTATCAGGGCCCATAGCCTTTGCAGTATCCACTGTCTCCAATCATTTCTTGATATCACAGAGTGAATTAAATTGGCTGAAGACTGGTATCCGTCATGCTAGGGACCACTGGGAGGAGGCCGAGATGGATCATCTACTCGAAGATTGCTGCGAATGTTTCAGCCTTATCTTGTGCTGGGCTCTTCCATCATTGAGAATGGGGATATTCATGGAGCCTCTTCCTCCAGTGAGTTGATTAATGTCCACCACCGTTCATGACTGGATGTGGCAGGACTGCACAGCTTAGATCTGATCCGCTGGTTGTAGGAATACTTAGCTCTGCCTATCACTTGCTACTTGCAATGATGCTTGGCATGCAAGCAGTCCTGTTTGGTAGCTTCACCAGATTGACATCTCATTTTCAGGTACGTCCTCCTTCACTCTCCATTGAACCAAGGTTGATCCGTTGGCTTGATGCTAACAGTTGAGTAGTGGATATACCAGACCAGGAGGTTACAGACTGTGCTGGAGTACCATTCCGCTGCTGTTAATGGTCCACAGTGCCCCATGGATGCCCAACCTTGAGTTGCTAGATCTGTTCAAAGTCTGTCCCATTTAGCACAGTGATAGTGCCAACCAACGATGGAGGGCATTCCCAATATGAAGACGGACTTTTTCTCTACAAGGACTGTGTGGTGGTCACCCTTACCAATTCTGTCATGGACAGATGCATCTGTGGCCAGCAGACTGGTAAGGATGAGGTCAAGTATGTTTTTTCCTCGTGTGTGACCTCACCACCAACTGCAGACCCAGTCTAGCAGCTACTTCCTTTAGGACCCAACCAGCTCGAGTGCTGACCCACTCTTGATGGTGGACACTGAAATCCCCACCCAGGGTACATTTTGTGCCCTTGCCACCCTCAACACTCCCACTAAGTATTATTCAACATGGAGGAGTACTGATTCATCAGCCAAGGGAAGGCAGTATGTGATAATCTGCAGGAGGTTTCCTTGTCCATTTTTCACTAGAGGCTATGAGACTTTGTGGGGTCTGGAGTCAATGTTGATGACTCCCAGGGCAACTCCTTCCCAACAGTATACCACTGTGCCACCACCTCTGCTGGGTCTGTCCTGCCGGTGGGACAGAAGACATCCAGTGATAGTGATGTTGGTGTCCAGGACACAGTTAGAGTCATGGAATCATATTTACAAACAATGTCAGGCTGGCACTTAACTAGTCTGTGAGACAGCTCTCTCAATTTTGGCACTAACCCCCAGACAGTAGTGAGGGTCTTTGCAGGGTCAACAGGTCTGTTTCTGCCATTGTCTTTTATGATGCCTAGGTCGCGGCCAGATGATTCATCCAGTTTCACTTCTTTGAGACTTTGCAGTGATTGATACAACTGAATGGCTTACCAGGCCATTTCAGAGGGCAATTGAGAGTCAACCATATTGCTGTAGATCTGGAATAAGGTGAGGATGGCAGATTTCCTTCCCAAAAGGACATTTGTGAATCAAATGGATTTTTCCAATAATCGATGGTCATCAGTAGATTCTTAATTCCAGTTGCTTTTATCGAATTCAAATTACACCATCTGCCATGGCAAGATTCGAAGCTGGGTCCCCAGAACATTGCTGAGTTTCTGGATTAATAGCCTAGCAATAATACCACAAGCCTATTGCCTCCCCATGTAAATGCGGTGGTTACAAGAGCAGGTCAGGGGCTAGGAATACTATGGCAAGTAACTCACTTCCTGACCCCCCAAAGCCTGGCCACGGTCCACAAAGGCACAAATCAGGAGTGTGATGGAATACTGTCCCCTTGCTTGGATGGGTGCAACTCCAACAACAATCAAGAAGCTTAATACTATCTAGGACAAAGTAGCACGCTTGATTAGCACTACATCACAAGCACACTCCCTCCACCACCAATGCTCAGTAGCAGCATTGTGCGCTATTTACAAAATGCACTGCAGAAATTTGCCAAAGATCCTCAGACAGCACCTTCCAAACCCACAACCACTTCCATCTATAATGACAAGGGCAACAGATACATGGGAACACAACCATCTTCAAATTCCCCTCTAAGCCACACATAATCCTGACTTGAAAATATACCACTGCTCCTTCACTGTTGCAGGGTCAAGTCCTGGAATTCCCTCCCTATTGGTATAGTGGCTGAACCCACAGCAGGTAGACTGCAGCAGTTCAAGAAGGTAGCTAACCACCACCATCTCAAGGGCAACTAGGGACAGATAACAAATGCTGGCTAGCCAGTGACACCCACATCCCAGCTTTTATCTGAGGTTTCGTTGTTTATTCTTGACACATGGCTGATACTAACTAAGCCACCTTTATTGTTCAATTAAGTCACTCTGAGAAAGCATTCTAATAAAAAACTTATTGGCTTTTGTCTTTAGTGGACATGAAGAGTCAACCATATATTACTGCATGAACCCAGGTCACATAGAGCCTGAAAGCAGGAAGGAGTTGAATGATTCATTCCATCCAGTCTCAAGCTAATCCGTTGGGTTTTCACTTCTAGCTGATTGGTTTCAGTGTTATTTTCTGGTCACTATTTACTAATGACCACCTTTATTAAAGTTCATTTCATACATAGTGGTGGAAATCATTGATCCCACCACAACAATCATTATTCTTTACCACAAGAAGTTTGGAGTCTTTAGGTTTTAGATCCTCAAATGGGCCAGACTTTCCACAGAGTGGAAATTTTACACACTGTAGTTTTGCTTCTTTTCTTACACAATGAAGGAGCTGCACGTTTTTGACAGGAGAGTCTGATCAGGCCTCCTTTAGAAATGGAGAGCTGTATTTCCATTATGGCAGGTCTTTCTCAGTGTAGACACATACTGGAAAGACAAACCACATCTCCTCCTTCACAGTAGTCAGCTGTTATATTCTTAAATTTAAAGATCCAACACAGACTTTGATAACTCCAACTGTAAGAATGTAAGGCAAGTGTGAGGTTAGGGTGCCAGATGGGCAGTGGCTGTAATGTCAATCAGTCAGGGGTTGGATGCCAGGCAGAGTGTTTTGGGTAGATAGGATTAATTAGGAGATATCAAGCCCAGTGAGGGGATAAGGAAAGACTAGCGATCTAGGTCAGTGTCTCAGTGGAGGGGAGGAGGAGATGATGGAGGTCTGGGGGAGGAGAAGTTGGGGTGTATGCGTCAAGTTGAGAGTCAGTTTAATCGTTACTCAGGAATTTGACTAGATAGTCAATTGTCTAACTAAAATGAGCAACGATTTACTCAGCAGAACCCTCTGGATTCTCCGTTTTAAATGCAGGCTTTCGTTGGGTTGAGTTCCAGGCATCGCGCAATTTCCCAGGCAGTTCCTTCCGAATCTGCTACAATGGGAATTCCGCAGGATCCCTCGAGGCGTAACTCCCGCCGACGCCGGAATAACGACCACACGGCCATCGGAAACATCCGGTGGCAATGTCCACGGATTCCCAAGAGTTAAGGAACACACGGAGGCCGTCTAGCCCATCGTTTCTCTGACCGGACTTTGTCAGAAATACCCGAACAGTTGCAATCCTATGTGTCCGCCTTTTCACACAAATCCATCTGCCAGCCAACCCCCGCCCCTCCTTTATGAGTTATTATCCAATTACAAAATTGCAATGGATCAATAAACATAACCCATCCCAGATTTAATTTTCCGAACAACCCGTTCAGAGATGTTGTTACACACCTCTGGAGCAGGTGGGACTTGAAGCCAGCTCTCCTGGCTCACAGCGAGGAACGCTACCTCTGCGCCCACAAGGGAAGCTCACCTCTCCCTCTCCTACCCCCTCCCCCCAATCCTCGCGGGATTTCGAGCGGTTTCTGGAACGTTCCACACCATCGAACTTTCAAAGCGAACCACAGCGAGTTTAAATCACGTCACTAACTGACCTCGGAGCAATCGTCCAGCTGCACCTGCCGCCATGCCGCTGAATTCCCCGACGTTCCGTCCGTTTTTGCGGTCCCTGCTGCCCTGCGGACCGTCAAACATCCGTTCCTACCCCGCGCTGCTCATACCGGTGCATTTCAACAAGCGCAGACTTCAATGGGGCGTTCAATATTATGTACTGTTTGTCGTCCCCCCACCCCCATCACCAATACTTTATCAGAGAATGGACGTGGAGGACTCATTCCCAGTGTGCCTGCTGAAAATATGACTTGCAAGTATGATTTTGCTCAAATGACGAAGGGAAAACCTGTTCATAGCTTCCAAACCAATTACAGATCACTGATGTTCTCACCAGCCTGTCACCCACCCAGGTCCACCAGGATCTACACTTTCCTCTTTTCCAGCGACATTAACGTGGAAAGTGCCAAATCAGAAATGGGAAACATTGGGCGGTGCAGCGAGAAACATAGAAGATGGGAGCAGGAAGAGGCCGTTCGGCCCTTCGAGATGCGCCGCCATGCATCACCATCATGGCTGATCGTCCAACTCTATAGCCTAATCCTGCTTTCACCTCATAACCTTTGATAGATGAGGGGACCATGCTCGGAAGAATATATTTTAAGGAGTCTTTTAAAGACAAGGACTAAAGTGTAGGGTGAAGTGACGAGTTTGAAAGAGTGAAGCTAATGAACTTTGCTACCAATGGTGAAACCAAAGGTAAAGAGGATTCCAAAACACCATAGTCAAGTAGTAGATACAGGGCACAGGCCTTTTTTGACCTGTGGCAGAGATACAAACTTGCCCCAGTATTACCAAATGGAAACATAAAGCTTTATATGATACGCGTTCTTCTTGGGGACCATTGAAAAATAAGCAAGTAATTCAAATTGAAGCAAATGCTTCATGTGCAAGGGAAAATGACCACCATAACTAAATTAATTATATACATTCCATTGATGTAGCCTTACTAACTATACATACTGTCTTTTCAAGGACAAATGGATCATATAGTGCTGGACGAAAGTTATGAGATACTGTTGATTGAGATTATAACACCATATGTAAATAATAACAATGTTTTTGAACTTGGCACTTCGAACAACCCTCCCACATTGCTTGGCAGTCTCTGCAATGGACAACTTTTTTATTTTAAAAATGGACTTCATGCATAAATTATAAGTAAAAAGCAACAAATACAATACACGTCCATACACATTGTGCAGAAAATACTGTGGAATTTTGACATTCCTCATTAGAACTTCAACTGATCTTCCAGCCACTACTGTTGGCAAGTCAAGTGAAATGATCCTTGTTCACACATTGCAATTACATAAACTATTGGAGTATGCTGCTAATCCAGTTTGTCTGAGTTTGGTTTAGTATCTTACACATAATCTGTTCAATTTCAAGTGACAACATGCTGGTACTGGAGCAACTACAAATGTAAAATGTGCAAGGGAATAGTTGCAATTTACAGTCAATTTATTATGTTAAAATTTGGTGTTAATTTTATCAATTGAGTATTGCACAAAAGACAAAGCAGGAAAACAATGTCTGATCAGCCATCCTTTCTTAATAGAAATCATGGAAAGTAATATTTTGAGTTTGTCACCTTTATGAGAACTGATTAGATCTGAAATATTAACTTTGTTTTTCTTGACAGATGCTGCCAGATCTGCTGTGCATTTCCAGCAATTTTTGTTTTTCTTCCAGGTTTTCAGCAACCTCAGTTTTTAGTTCTGTAAGAGAAACTAACTCTTGTGAGAAATTCTTGAAAATTAAATAAGAAGGAAACTCTCTGTTGCAAGTAATTCTGCTTTAGATTTAAGTTCCAAAGATAAAGTATGAGCTTATGGGACAAGTTTTCCTGGTATGAGGGAGAGTTGTGGGGTAGGGATGAGGGGGTGCTGTCGGTGGGGGGGAGGGGGGTGAGTTTTTATTTACTCAAAATTTTGTTCATATTTAGAATTTCTGCCTGAAAGGGTGCTGGAAAATAATTTCATTATCATTCAAAACGGAACAAATATCCTAAAAAGGGGAAACTTTTTCGGCTTTAGAGAAAGAGAAAGGAATTGTGGTTAAATTGTTTCACTCTTTCAAAGATCTGGCACAGGAATGATGGGCGAACAGCCTCCTTTTGTGCTGTAAAAGTCAATGATATAAACACAAAATCATGATAGTGCTGCATGACAGAACACAATGTAACCAATATAAATAAAAGATTTGGTTGTTTTGACAATCATTTTATCACGTCTATCATTGGTAACATTTTCTCTGTAAAGACCTCTCATGATTTTGAACAATTCTATCAAACCTTCTTTCAACCTTATCTCTCTAAGATGAACATGCCCGGTTTCTTTAATTTATATAAGCAACTAAAGTCCCTCATTCCTGTTTTATTTAAGTAAATCTTTTCTGTATTCTCTCTAAGGCCTTTTTCATCTGCACAGCGTAGTGCCCAGAATTGTGGCTGAACTGATGTTTTAGAAAGGCTTTTGTATTTTATGTGTCTGACAATTTTGTCTGGATTATCATTTCTAAAGGCTTCTCCAGAACCGAGGTTGGCCTACAGTTGCTGATTTTATTTTGATACCCTTTTGTGAGCTGGAGTAAAACATTTCAGTTCTCCAGTCCTTTGGTATTATTTCTGTATCAAAAAAGAATTGTAAGACAATGGTCAGTGCTTCTGCAATTTCCAGCTGACTTGCCAAGCATCCTTGGACACTTGCCTTGAATCTTGACGTTTATCTATTTAAAGTAGAGCCAGCCTTGTAAAACACACTTTTCATCAATTATTAGCCATTCTGAAATATTTCCATCCTTACTGTGACTTTGGTATTATCCTTTTTCCTGGTAAAGACAGATGCAACATACTCATTTTAGTACTCGGGAAATGACTTCTGCTTCCAAGTTATGCCTTTAGTTTAGTTTCTATGCCTACCTCTTATTAACCATCTATTTTTGCTTACATATCTATAGTAAACATTTATATTCTTTTAGTCTTTTTTGACTTGGCTGCAGTTGCAGTAAAAAGCATTGCGCTCACTATGAAATATCATTTAGAGAGAGAGAGAAATATTCTTAGTGGGATCATGTATTCCCTGCCTGGTTCTCCTTGTCTATCCAGGGTTCATCTATTCCTTTTCTATCTCCCCATAATAAGATGTGGGATGACACCCACTGGAAACATGCTATCCAGATAGCCCTCAGATATGTGGATGCATCAAAGTGCCCCGAGCTACTGCTCAAGCATCAAAATCTGGAGCTGAGCTTCCAAGCTGACAACGTTTCCTGCTCATATTGTTGACATAGACATAAAAAGCCCCCTGGAATTTCCACATGCTACAGGATATGTATTTGACAGAGCTGAGGTACCCTGCAATGTCTCTGTTTATTAATAACTTGCTAAGTTTATAAGAAATAAAATTTTAGTCTTGAAATAATTTAAGGCTTAGAATTTATAACCTCACACTTTTAACCTGGTTGAATTATTCTTGTTTCTCATTTCAGATCCTTATCTTCATACTTACCCAAAATCACAAATTAGGATTCTGATGCAAGTTTCTCTCTGCAGTGTGTCTGATGTCAGTTTACACTCATAGATCACAGAATAACATACCAGCCTTGTCAACCTTATAAGTTACTCCTACACCACTATCAGACCTGCTTTAGAGGCAGTAAAGGTAGAAAAGCAAGGAACAAAAGCATTCTGAGGGTATGAAGTAGAGGTAGTAATGAACAATGCCGCAACAGTGGAAATAAGTAAAATTTTGACTGTGGGTTGAAACTTAACAACAACAACATTACATTTATATAGCCATTTTATTATAACGAAAAATTCCAAGAAAATTCACAATAACATTATAAAACAATCTATGATAACAAATATGGAGTTGTCAGGTTGTATGACAAAATGTTTGGCCAAAAAGGTAGGGAGGGACACATGGGGGTACATTGGAACCCAATGACCAGGCCTTGAGGTTCTGGGGGAGCTCCCGCTGGGCTGATGTTGGGTTAGTGGAATCATTATACTTGTGTCAGGGTAGGGCTGGGTTGGATGTGGGGTGTAACCTTGAGGCAGGGGCAAGGCTGGTCATTGCAGGGCTACTGTGTTTAGGTTGGGGAAGTAGGGCCACTAATCGGGAGCTGGGCTGTTTGGATTGGGGTTGGGGCCTCTTGTGCTCAGATCAGGATGAGGTTTCTGTACTTGTGCCTGGGATGGAGATGCTGTACTTTGGTGGGGTTCAGTTTCCAGCTTGACAGTGGGGCCCAGGCCAGAAATAGCACCACAGCTCATGTTTTCTGGCTTGGCACTTACAAAATGATAGGCTTTAAAATGTTCTTAAAGATGATATTGGATTAGATTGTGGAAATATTTAGGGAACAGAGGTGATAGGTGAATAGGACATTGTTGTGAATTAAGACACAGGCTGCTGAGTTTCTAATGATCTCAAGTTTAGAGAAGGTAGGATATATGTAACCAGCCAGCAGTGCTTTGAAATAGTCTAGAGTTGGTAAAGGCATAAATGAGGGTGTCCGCACCAGATTAGCTGAGGTGGGATGAACTCAGGTGATGTTATAGAGGGCGAAGTAGTTAGTCTTAATGATTGTATAAATATGAGTTTGGCAGCTTGTTTTAGGAACAAATATGACTAAGTTTGTGAACAGACTGGTTAATCTGGGTGGAATCAGTATTTGGGGTTTGGAGTTTGCATTTAAAAATAATGGATTCAGTGTTTTCAGTATTTAGAAAATGGGAGATATTTCTTTTCAACTAGCTTTAGCTGTTGAATAAACAATCTGATCATTTAGCGATAGTGGAAGAGTTGAGAGAAAATGTGGTGGGGTAGAGGTAGCTGTTAACGTAAAAGTGAAATTAATACTTTGAATGATGTTGCTGAGGGGTAGCATGTGGGTGAGGTAAATGATGGGGCCGAGGATAAATTCCTGGGGATCACCGGAAGTGTCTATGTAGGAGGACAAAGTAAAGCCATTGCAAATGTTGGTCTAATTATGATTAGGTAAGTAAGAATTAAGCCATGTGGGAGCATTTCAGTCCTTGCTGGACAACAGTGAAGAGATTTTGACAGAGAATAGTCTGTTCAACTGTGGTAAAAATTGGAGAAATGCCAAGAATGTTGAGAAGAAATTGTGACTTTGATATTAGGGCCATTTAGAATTGTGGCAGGGACAGAAATCTAATTGGCTGAGGCTTGACTCGACTCTGAAGTTACATATAGACCAATCCTGGATGTATCATTTCAAATTAAACATTGGGAAGACATTATCAACAGCCTCCTCCAGGAACTGGGTTGCTCATTCCATTCCCCACCTTGGCTATGCTGAAACAGTAACCAAACTGCTTACATCCACAGCATCTCATATCACTTTGAGATTAGCATTCACCCCATATCCTCCCCATCACAAAGACTATTTCCATCTACTAATCTTAATTTTCCCTTGATCTGCTCAACTACTGGGAAAAGCCTCCCTATGCTTTGATTACATTTAGGCCTGTCCACTGCAACATAAAAAGTTGTATTTCTATCATGCATTAACATTTTAAAACCTATCAAGTAGCTTCACAGGAGCATTATAAACAAAACCAGACTCTAACTGACATAGCTAATATTAGGGCTGGTGACCAAAAGTAGATGAGTAGAGAGCGATGCAGAATTGGTCAGTACTATGGAAGTGGACAAAAGTAGTCTTGATTA